TTTCGCACCAGGGAGCCTTAGTTACGCGTGACTAGTTTAAATAAACAAAAACCATTTTTTTCGTTCGTCGTTAAAAAGCACCACCATTTTTACTTTCATATCCTTTGTCAGTTTTTTTTTTTTTCATTCATCTTTCGACTTGTCATTTCGTCGTTTTTATTTTCATTAAAAAATCTCTTTCTCTCTCTCTCTTTCTCTCTCTCTCTCTCTCTCTTTCTCTATCTCTATCTCTATCTCTATCTCTCTCTCTTTCTCCCTCTATACATAACAATTTTTCTAAGTCATTTAATAAAACCACTTATGAGTAACAACGAACGATACAAAATGCCAGAATGTAAAGAAAAGAAAAAAAGGCGAAGTGGACTGTCGTGATGACGGTGATGGATGTGGTGTGAGGGTGTGGGGTAGAGCATATACACACATATATATATAACATATACATATACATATACATATACATATACATAAACATATACATATACATATATATATATATATATATATTTACATATACATAACATATACATGTACATATACATAACATATATATATGTATGTATATAAGGAAAGGATATAGTCACCATAAAATCGAAAAATTCACTCGTCTTTTTTTCATGGCTGAACTGCCTACGAATGTCATTATCCACCCCCCGCCCACGCTCCCGTTCTTCTTTTTTCTTGTTTTGTTGTTGTTGTTGTTTCTTTTTTTTTATTTTTTTTTTTTTTGGTAGCTGGAAGTTCTAATCATAATAGTGCTAAACGATAATATTTTATCATCAATGATCATCCATTCGGTGATCGCCATAATCGTCTCACATGAAGAAGACTACGAGACGACACGTTTCATACGCTAGCAAGGCGACGGGTATTCGTATAATTATTTGGTTTAATGTTATTGTTATTATTATTATTTATCCACCCCGGGGGCTAACTTGGCGCATCTTCTGGTTCTATCGGTCCTCCGGATACAGCTGCCGATCCTCTTTCACTAGCTTGACTCATTGCTACAAATTGTTGCGACAACGTTTGCAAACTTTGGCGGACCTAAAGAATAGATTAAAAATACAATGTCAGATATGTTAAAATATTATTTAAATATTTATGTTAAATATATTTCTCAGAATATTTATTAATTATTTATATACATACATATATATATATGTATGTATATAAGATATATATATATATATATATATATATATATATATATATATATATCTTTGTGTCTGAGTATGACAAACATGAAATGCATAAATTTTACCTTAGCTATCTGATCGAGATTCGAATTGAGATAATGCAAGAGTCGATCATGCGTAAAATGTTCCGGCGAGACAAGAGGATGATTTAGATATGCCGTATGCAATCTATCGATACGGAACATCATCATCGCTGCCGAAACATACAAAGCTGCTAGGACCACAACCAATATAGCAATTACTGTACCAGGCTTCAATCCACCAACAAAAAATGTACCAAACGAACGAGATTTGTTAGGTGAGATCGGTATCGATGGTGTCACTGAATCCATTCTAAAATAATAAAGAAGAAGAAGAATTAGAAAATGAGAAAGGAAAAACAAATAATAATAACAACAACAACAACAATAACGAGCAGAGAGCACCGTAGACGACATCAAGGAATGTAAAAGATTTTCCAATAATTCCTGTGTCCTATTTCGTTCTACATGGTGAGCCATTGCGATTTCAACAATTTTAAACTAATTTTTATTTATTCATTTATTTATAATTGTTAAGCCTAGACATTGTAAAAGATTTTAATCGAAAAAGTCTAGGAAGAGAATAATCGATACATTCTTTTGTTTGATTTTTTTTTCTTTTTTTTCTTCTTTTTTCTTTTTTTAAATCACCTACAAACTTTTAAGTCATCCCGTACGGTCTAGCATCTCTGACAAGCATCTCATCTTTGAAATAAGTAGGTCTAGTGTGTAGGCACAACGTATTTGTGATGTGTATGTATGTGTGTGTGCGTGTGTGTATGTGTATAAAGAACAAGGAAAAGGACAGATAGTTAGATAGATAGATAGATGAATGTAAAAAAAAAAAAAAAGAAAAAATGTACCAACCTGGTATTAGGAACAGGAGTATGACTTGGTCTAGAAATAGTAGGTGATAAACCATCGGTATCGGTACAAACAGTTGGTGGTCTCGAAGCTGTTTGATCGGTGCCACTTTCTGACATACTCGAATCATCTTCCTCAGGATTAACTTCCGAATCGTCGACCAGCAACGTATCCGGTGGTAATAATTTTGCCTCATCGGGAAGTGGTAATACGTCCGGTGAAGCTCTTGGTATTATTGCTTCGTCCCAAACCTGTTTCATCAGTTTAAAGGTCGAATCTCTTGATAGTAAAGAACAGAAAACGTGTCTTTCATCCTCGGTCGCTACCGCGACAGCATTTGGAATGATCTTAGCCGTCTTCTCTTTACTGATCTTCAACACCGAGGCCGTTGGTATTAACAACTTTGTAACGTAACCGAAAACGTTGCTATAGAAGGCGAAATAATTCGGTGTTATGTAAAGGTGACCTTGAAGTAGGATATCGCCCACCAGCGCACAACTGTAGTAATTTAATACACGTTCATCCGCGGCTACCTGATGTCGAAATTTTGAAGACTATATATTAGCACTGACTAACTGTCCTTTCGTAAGTTCCAATAAAATTTTATAGCAAATGAAAAAAAAAATATATATATATATATATATATATATATTATTTAATTTTTATTAATATTTATTAATTTTACCTGAGTAAAATGCCGATGAAATTTCTTTTGTCTTGCACTACTGGTGGACGATGGCGAGGATCTTGATGAAGATCTACTGATCTTCGCCGGTGTTTGAACAATACCACCGGCTGCCATCGATGGAGTACTCCTGCTCAATGGCTTTGATAGCTGACTGAAAATGAAATGGAGAAAAGATTATAAGAAAAATGCGAACGAAAAATAATACTTTTGTACTATACTTTAATTAAATGAAATGAATAATTCACTCGGTATACATATGAATAGATGTATAACAACTACTAAGTTAACTTTTTGAAGGTCTTCCTTCTTCTATAAACTATATTCCAATAACACGATTTATTTGTAATTTTCTCCACGGAAATGTAAGAATGACTTTTATAATGGAATTATACATTTTGATAGCATTTTCGTAATCGAGCATTATCGATCTGGTCTTTATCGCTATGGCTAATGAAAAAATTTATAATTCATTCGTATATATACATACGTATTACATATTAGAAACGAATATATGTATGATCTTTATTATATATGTATATATGTATGTATATATGTGCATCATTTATATATACATATATGTATATATGTTATATATATATATATATGTAATATATATAAATATATATGTATATATGTTATATATATATGTAAAATTATTGTTACTTTAGATTTTCATCGATAACAATTTTCAAAAGCAGTCATTTCTAATAAAAATAAATATAATAAATATTTGTAATAAATAATTCAAATATATAGATGATATAAAACTTTGACACCAAGAGAGACACGTAAACGCACGCGCGCGCGCGCTCAAATACACAAAGACACACAATTCTTGATTTATCAATAAACTTAACATTTTGATCTTCATATATGTATTAAATTTATATATATATATATATATATATATATATATATGAAATAATGTATAAAAATATAAAAGTATTTAACTCATTTAAATTTTTGCTGATATTACTTGGCACCGAATCATGTCTGGAAATTTTTGGTTTTATAGTAGCACCCCACAAATCGTTGCTCCAAACGACGAACTTGTATCCTTGCATCTTGTCGTCTCAAATTTGATTGACCGAACCGAATCGAATCGAATCGAATCGAAATTGAATCGAAAGAGCAATTAGGATTATTATAATAAAACGTTTCCTTTGTTATCGTATCCCCTTCTTTTTTTCGGATACGCCAAAGGAAATAAACTCGTAATTGACACTGAATCAACAAAAAAACAAAAAAAGAAAACGAAAAAGAAAAATCAAACAAGAAGAGAAAAGAAAGAAAAACAAATTAAATTAAATTAAATTAAATTAAATTAAATTAAATTAAATTAAATTAAATTAAATTAAATTAAATTAAATTAAATTAAATTAAATTAAATTAAATTAAATTGAACAAAAAGCACACGGGCAGACGAAAGAGGACGCGCGCGCGCACACTCTATTTCTTCTAAAAATTCTTTAAATTTAACGTCAACTTTTAACAATATAACTTCGTTCTTGATCATCGTAGGTTTAACAATATATAAAACGTTTACTCGCGTTCCGTCGATCTTGTCTTCCCGATTTTCGATAAGACACAATATCACGATTCAAGTGAGACATCCGTAATGCTTATCGAGAGAGTCACAGGTGGAAGAAGACCTAACTTTATCTAACTAGATCAACGGCTCGTTGATTGATATCTTTCATACTTAAATGAAACGAGAAAGAAAAAGAAAAAGGAAAAAAAGAAGCACACAATATTCTTAATAGTATGAGGTATAGATTCTCTTTAGCAGCTGATATAAAAGTTTTTTTATACAAAAACTGATACGGATATAATGTAACTGGTGGAAGGTGAGAATGGATGGAATATTTATATCCACGAATTAACAAAAGTAAGATCTATCGATTTATCGATCTATATCAATCTATCAATTTATCTATCTATCGATTTTAACTCCACTTTTGTTGCTATGTTTACGAATGCAAATGACAATTATCAGGAAAAGTAATGAATTTTTCTACTTTGATAAACAGCCGAGAGATCAAAGATGACTCCGATGACTAATTTCCAGATGATGATGATTTATTATATATATATTACATTTTTTTCCCACCCTCCTTCTCCACCTGAGCAACTTCTATCAGTTGTGTAAATAATAACAACAGTGTTGTTTTCGTAAGAGAAAGCACAGGTGTTTCGTTATCATAAAATTCCGAGATATTATCGATCCTTATAGATGGATCATTTCGAAGAATAAGTAAAAGTATAAATTTGATGAGTCATTTTCTTTTTTTTTTCTTTTCTTTTTTTTTTTTTTTTCACACAATTTCAACTCACCTGTCATTACATCTCAGTGCCGCATGACTCGGACTCCTTGGTGGTTGGGAAACTTGGATATTAGTGACAACGGTAAGCTGAGAAGGACTGATTGATTGTTGGCCCGTTTGCGGTACCCCAGGTGTTGTAGTTTGAAGCGGTGTACTTGGCGCTGAACGTGCTCCTATGGACCCCGCAGACCTAATAAAATACAACAATGTTTATTATCATTCATTATCGATCTTAGTTATCTGTTAACGTTGATTAGAAATTTTCCTTTTCATATAATGGTATTAACGATGCTTTTCTATCGACGCAAATGAAATAACATTTGTGAAATATTAAAATTTCACTTTAAATAATGATAATAATAATGATAATATAATAATATTATTATTTTGAATTGTTGTTATTATTATTATTATTATTATTATTATTATTATTATTATTATTATTATTATTATTATTATTATTGTTATTATTATTATTGTTAGAAAATATCATAACGTTCGTTTTGATTATCTATATATACGACAAATTGATTCGTTAACGTTGAATTAAAAAATGTTTAGAAAATATTAGCACGCGCATTTTTATCGATCCAATCGAAATAACGTTAATTATTCGATATCGATCGAATTATTTCTATAAATGATTGAATCTTTACCTTGCTCTCGTTATTGTACCAGATGATAGGCAAAAATCTATCAAAGCTCGTGTTTCGAACTCCATCATTCTTATTATCAGGTCACAAGGATTGTTAGATTAAAAAATTTATTACGTTTTTAAAAGAAGGGGGAAAGAAAGAGAAGAAAAAAAAAAAAAGAAAAAAAAGAAGAAAAAAGTTAGAAACTTCAAATTCTCCTGTCAAAAATTGTATCTCAAACGTTGATTGTCACCTATCAACAATCGACGCGAGAATCTAATTATTTCTAATGCATGTAATAAAGTATATATCTCTCGTTTATATTAAAATTTCGAGATATTTATCGTCGTCATTTAATAAAAGCCACGTTCGTATCGGCACTTTTTAAACATCGTTCTTCTCGATGATCTAACTCTCGCCCCTAATGTTTTCATTACCAAACGCGCGATAAATATGAAACTCATTTTATAGGTGAAAAGTGCGGGAATAAGGAAAAATAAGAGATACGATAATAATATATCAAATAATAATTCTAACGACGATCTCACCGATCAACGATGATAGATAAATTTTGATAAGAGAAAAAAGAAAAAAGGAAAATGGAAAAGAATCCGTAACGAATTATAATTACAGATATAAAGGAGAAAGAAGGAAAGAAATGAAAAAAAGAAAACAAAAGGAAAAAAAAAGGTAAAACTAATATACCGTAAAGAATTAGAAATTAGATATGTTAAACGTAAAGAATTAGAAACTAAACACTGCGATTTTATAATTCAGCCTTCCACGGACCAGCCGGGTTATAAGACTGACTTGATTTCGGACTCGTATGCTTATACATACATAGAGGCAGAGAAAGAGAGAGAGAGAGAGAGAGAGAGAGAGAGAACCAGACAAAAGAAAAAAAAGAAAACATCCACCACCTTTGTTCTCTCGACCTCTTGACCTTCTTAATCATTAATCTCCTCTACGCACTCTTTTTAACTCCTACCCAACTTCTCAAGGTAGAACGATATCACTTGGCTTATTCAGTTTGCGATATTGTAAAGTCAATAGGGGGACAAAAAACAAAAAGAGATAAAAATAAAAAATTAGGAAAACTCATTCTCTCGAACAATCGAAGATACATTATAACAAATTTTAATAATCTTCCTGTTTATCTCTCATATATAAATACATTTCTTTTTCTCTTTTCTTCGAATGGAATTATCAATTTTACACTATCATACAAATTGTAACGACAAACGAATTGTTGCTCTTTTGTATGAAGGAAAAAATAAGAGTAAGAAAAAAAAGAAAGATAAAAGGATAATAAAAACAAAAAAGAAAAAAAAATAGAAGATATAAGATAAAAAAAAAAAAAGGAAAAAAAAAAAGAAAAAGAAATAACAAAATAAGATAAATAAAAAGAATGTATGAAATTTGAGTTGAGAAATCGATTTTAGTCGATCGATCGAAACCGACAAAATGATCGATCAATTTAAATATCTACGATCTCTGGACACATCCTATGTAATAATGATTATTTATACATGCATGCACACATACACACACACATATATAATAACTAATACTTGTGATTATCTTATATCACATGGGGGGTCACGGACATATCTAAAAAATCAATTGCATTTCTCGTATCGTTCCCTATAAGTGTTAATAAAACTCTACCTTCTTTTGCTTCACTTGTTTCTTACTTTTTCTGCCCCTTTTTTTCTTCTTTCGTCATTGTTCACAACATTTATCTTACATTATTAAGATACACCAGGTGTTCTTCTTTCTATACTTTATTCCGAAGGACATTGAATGACGTCATGCACTAGATACACCCGAATTATCGACAAGTTTTATCAATTTTTATGTAATACATGATATACGTATATATACGATAAATGGAGAGAGAGAGAGAGAGAGAGAGAGAGAGAAAAAGAGAGAGAGAAAGAGGAAATATATACTCGTATTAAGTAGAAATACTTAGATGATATGTTCAGTCTACGTTTGTGCAACGTTCGAGGCACAATAACGTTGTTTAGATTTTCTATTCTTTTTTCTTTTTTTTTTTTTTTTTTTTCGAAAATATACACTCTCTCTCTTTCTCCTGTTTCGTATTAAAACATCGTTGAAATGCAACTAAAAAAATGCGGTCGTTACTGTTTCGTTAGTATGTATTCGTGAATGATGATAAGGCACGATTAAATTTAAAACCGTTTCCGCCCACATTTTCATAATGAAAAATAAAAACAACGTGTTTCCATTATACAGTTATAATAGTGGAGTTATAAATCGATGCAACTGACAGCTGACTGAAAAAAAAAGTTTATTATAGACCTTTTCTATATAGATTAAAATCTATTGTTACAAATTATGGACCAAAAGTTTCTAGGTTTGTAATTTTTATGAAAGAAAAAAAAAAAAAAAAAAAAAGAAAAAAAAAATGTTTGAATAAATAAAAAGAAATTGATTTTTAATTATCGTCTAGGTACACTTTAAGCTCATCTCGTATATTAATAAGGTATATCGATAAAATTTGTTGCATTTTTCTCTCTCACTTTAAAAATGAAGAACAAAAAAGAAATAAATCGTTGATAAAAACCTGCATGAAATATTTTTGAAGCACGATTTACGTTTTTACGCATAGAAAATATTTTCCAAATACAATTCTCTGATCGAGAATGAAAAATAAATATCTTTTTTCTTTTCTTCTTCTTCTTCGTCTCTCGAAATAAATCGATTGTAATAACGAAAGTTAAAAAAAATATCTTTCGGGTTCGATTTAGATATTTACATTTTCAAATATTTTCAAAACAAATTTCTGAAGAGTTTTCTTTCGATACGTTTCAAGGTATGGCCTCGACCTCATCATAGTTTTATTAAGTACGAGTACGTTAGCGTAAACGTTTATTTTTGTCTTTTTTTGCAGGAGAAAGAAAAAATACATTTTCTTTTATTCCAAGGATTGTGTTTACATTGATACACTGAATGGACGACAGATAATCGAAAATATAAACAAGTATATCGATCGATATATGTATATATATATATGTATGTATATATATATATATGTATGTATATATATGTATATATATATGTATGTGTATATATATGTATATATATATATGCATATATAAATATTCTATCTATTATTTTGTTTCTAGATCAATCTTATGAATTGGAGGAGCTTCGGAACATCGATTATTCTTGGAAAGGTCGTATTTGTCGATATATGTCGATATTTTCGATGATAAAAAGTCAACGAGATTTCTTTGAAAGATTTGTAAGCTTATATCGTTTCATTAATTAATTAGATAATTCTTGGAAATAAAATATCGTATAATATCTTTTCTTAATTATTATTTTATAATATTTATCTTCTTTATTATTAATTTATATTTTGCTTTTAAGCGAATTATAATATTTTTAATTAAATATATTTAATATTAAAATGACTTATCGTCGAACTAACATTATAATTATAAACAACATTCGATTTTTTTCTTTTAGACGATCTATTAACTTCTCACATATATTGAAGAATATATATATATATATATATATATATATATATATGTTTCTTTAATTTAAAAGCAGATTAAAAGAAAAGAAAGAAAGAAGAGAGAAAACGTCAATAGAAAATGAATTTGAAGATTTGAAAATGTCGACAAAATTTCTAACTCTGTACGAAGCATGAATCTTACGCGGTCGGCTAAGCGTATGCATTATTTTTAGAATTCACGCTCTGCGTTTAACGCATGCACGTGGATACAGCGTTTGTACAACGTTATGGAGAAGAAGAATAAGAGGAATAAGAATAAGAATAAGAAGAAAAAGAAAACGATAAAGAGAAATAAGAAGAGGAAGAAGAAGAAGAAGAAGGAGAAGAAGAAACAGTAAAATATAAGAAAAATAACAGAAAAGAGACGAATTGGGTATACATCTACTTATGTATGCGTTGACTTAACGATAAGAAAGAATGAATACGAAATACGATATCCCGAATCTTATATACTTATTCAGATTTATTCCAAAAAGAAAAAAAGGAGAAAGAAAAAAAAAGAATGAAAAAAAAAAAAACAAAAAATCAATTAGCATACGAGCAAAAAAGAGAATTACCACGACAATACAATGGGGAGAATCGAATTTGACGCAACTACTTGTCGCCGTGCAATAAACAAATTTATTCTGATATTGATCGATCGACCCTCCTTTTAAGAAGCGAAAGAAAGGAGAAAAAGGAAAAGAAAAATAAAAAACAACGGCTTGATTATGCGCCAAGCGAGACTATCTCAATATGCTATCTATCGGTTCATTTCCAAATACAGCACGTCCACATCAATCGAATTGATTATGGAATAGTACATACGTCAATGATGAGATGTTCTTCTGTTTTGTAATCGTGCGCACGTAGAACAAAACGATTCGTTTTTTTTTTTTAATGAGTCTACGAAATTGTTAATCAATGTAAGAATCAACCAAGTTGAATGTATATTGTTTATATTTACGAGTGTCGAGTAGTGGTCGACAATGTACATGTCAAGTAACGGTCGATAATGTGCATGTCGAGTAGCGGTCGACAATGTGCATGTCGAGTAGCGGTCGATAATGTGCATGTCGAGTAGCGGTCGACAATGTGCATGTTAAGTAGCGGTCGACAATATGCATGTTGAGTAGCAATCAACAAAATACATGTCGAGTAGCGGTCGACAATGTGCATGTTAAGTAGCGCTCGACAATGTGCATGTCGCGTAGTGGTCGACAATGTGCATGTCGCGTAGCGGTCGACAATGTGCATGTCGCGTAGCGGTCGATAATGTGCATGTCGCGTAGCGGTTGACAATGTGCATGTCGCGTAGCGGTCGACAATGTGCATGTCGCGTAGCGGTCGACAATGTGCATATCGCGTAGCGGTCGATAATGTGCATGTCGCGTAGCAGTCGACAATGTGCATGTTAAGTAACGGTCGACAATGTGCATGTCGAGTAGCGGTCGACAATGTGCATGTCGAGTAGTGGTCGACAAAATACATGTCGAGTAGCGGTCGACAAAATACACGTCGAGTAGCGGTCGACAATGTGCATGTTAAGTAGCGGTCGACAATGTGCATGTCGAATAGTGGTTGACAATGTACATGTCGAGCCACACTCGACAATCTTTGATCAATTACATCGTAGACTCTTGACACATTGACGAATTATTTTCTAGACTTTTTTCTTTCTAAACTTTTTTCGTATATTACTAATAATGCATTAATCCTTATTAAAAAAAAAAAAGATTTTCAAAATAATTTTATTAATTAAATTATATAATACAGGATGGATCAAAAGTTCCTAAGTTATTGTACAAAAGAAAAAAAAACAAAATCGACTACTCTTCTTTGAAACTTTTATCAAACCTCGTAGTTACGTTTGTATAATAGATAATTTTATAATCTAAAAGATAAAAAAAATTCAGAAAATTTGCCTAACCAGTTTTGAAGAAGAGTATAACTGATTTTTAAAATTGCTTGAAAAATTTTTGCATAACTTATGAAAGCGTAGGAACTTGCATTTTTTAAGAGAAAGGTGCTTCCATAAACCTCTTGATAGTTTGACCTTAAATTCGAACTTGTTCTCTCTTTCTCTCTCTCTCTCTCTCTCTTTCTCATATCATCAGTATAGTTTTTCGTTCTCTTTGCTTTTTCAATTCTTTCGTTTTCTTACTTTTTCAAATCAAGACCGTAATACATTACGAACAAATCGGAACATTTAGTATAGCAATCGACATTTCAATACATCGATAGGATTGGCCCGATTTTTCAACGCTCTTCTTTCCATTCAATAATAATTATTCTTAATCATCGAGAGAAATGAGGCGATCGACTTTAAATTAATCAGAGCATAGACCGGTATTTCCTGTTTTGCAATTGTGCTTCCTTCTTTTTAAAGAGTGCAAAAAAAAAAAAATCAGAACAAAAACAAAAGTAAAAGATGACAAAAAGAAATAAATCATAAACAGTATTAATATTCAGTCGATGATTCAATTCAATTCGATTCGATTCGATTCGATTCGATATTATACGATCTTCCTTCCTGGAGAAATTGTCTCTCAAATATTAGCACACATTCTCTACTATAATGAATGAAATATGTGTATATATTATATATATATGTGTGTGTGTATATGTGGGTGTGTGTATGATGTTAACATCTTCTTCTCGCATGCTCACTTTTGAACTCTGATAATCATTGAAACGGGGTCATTGTCTCTAGTTGATCCCACTATCTTCTTTTAGATAATAATAGTCGGCCTTTGAACTTCTCTTCTAACACAAGTTTGTCTCTTCAAAAATAGACAATTTTAAAAGACACTTTTCGTCTTTTTTCCTTTTTTTTTCCTTTTTTTTCCTTTTTTCTTTTTTTGAATTACGAACGATCATTATCGCTGCGTAGTTACAAATTTTTGTGAGAAATATAAACATTACTTGTACATGGATTTCTTGTTATTTTAAAAAAAAAAAAAAAAAAAAAAAAAAAAAAAAAAAAAAAAAAAAACCAAAAAAAAACCAAAAAAAAACCAAAAAAAAAAGAAAAAATTAGTAAAAATTAGATCTCTCTCTACCACCTATATATTTACTGCGAAGTGAACAGTGACTATGTACGCACGAGTATCGCATAACGTAATAGCGAGCATTATCGTTCATTTCCGGTGACGATGACGAGATCGCAAAGTTCGAGTTATTATATATATATATATATATATATACATACATACAATTCGTGTGCGAATCCAGTACGATCGAAGTCAGGGGAAGAAAAAAAAAAGAAGAAGGAAGATAAAACCGTAGGAATAATAAAAATTTTCATTTTTGATTGTCGAAAATAAAATAACGATATTACCTATTCCTCGTATTATTCTATTCGTTAATCGAACGAACGAATTAATTATTTCACGATCTTTATCGAAGAAGAAAAAAAAAGAAAAAAAAGAGAAGAAAAAAAAAAAAAGAAAGAAAAAAAAAAGAAGAGGGAAAAATAAAAGAAAGAAGAAAAATGAAAGTCATCGCAAAATAATCGATGAAACTAATTGTTACGTAACGGGCACACATCGTGATCGTTTTCATATCTACATAACTTAATGAAATATCAAATAAATTATCAGTACGAAAATTGATGTATCAACAATATCGAAAGTGCATTCAATGACAGCGAAAAAAAAAAAAACGAACGAACGAACGAACGAACGATTAAGAAAAGTGCTTTCTTGCGTAATTAAATTCTTTCTTTTTATTTTTTTTTTTTTATTTCGTTTATGCTTTCAATTTCCAAACGTTCACAAGTCATATACAAAAAAAAAAGAGAGCAAAAAAAAAAGAAAGTTAATTTCAAACAATTATATAATTTTTACAATCCTAATAAAAAATAAAAAGGAAAGAGAAAAAGAAAAAAAAAAATATATATATATATATATATATATATATATAATTTTCGCTAAATAGTAATCGAGTTTTAAAATTATCTAAGAACATTTTATATATTTTTGTTTTCTTTCTTTCTTTTATCTTTAGACTCCTACTTTGAAACTTTGGGCCCACTCTGTAGATATATATGCACGCACATACATGCATACATATAAACATACTTATATGAAAATCGAAGGATGCGTTTAATGCATACGTATGTATACTTATCAAGTCCTCGTTACTATTTTTTTTTGTTTTATTATTAAAGATTCTTTAACTCGAAATAATACATACATATATATATATATCTACATGTCTATATACATATATATATATATATCTACATATGTATATATAAACATATATATATATTTTTTTTTTATAGATCGTTTTTTGCAATGATTACATATACTTGCAAAAATTAATATTTTCTTTGTTTGCAATGTGAAAGGACACGGTAGATATATAACATATATGTGTGTGTGAGTGAGTGTATAAATATAAATAGATACATTAACTGGCACATGGTTTCTAGAGAATTAGGTTTACGTTTGGCTCGAACGAAGGGAAATAATAAATGGGATAATCGGGATAGAAAGACCGAGATAGTGCATATATCGTTGTACGTTCGACTTTGCAGAGGTTGCCCGCAAAATCCATTAAGTAAAGAGGTCAGCGAGCAGAGAAGGTCATCTCTGTCTCTGTCTCTCTTACACACATACACATACACACACACTCTCTCTCTCTCTCTCTCTCTGTCTCTGTCTTTTTTTCTGAGAACAACTCGAGCGTAGAAAAGGTATTGAACACCTACGCTTTCGAATCATCTTCGTTCGATTCTTTTTCTTGAGAACAATAACCATGAAATTTCATTTGACTTTTCGATAATATTTTTGAATGACAATTACTATCATAAAAAGTGAGAGATAGAGGAAGAAAGACGTGTATGTCATTTTTTATTTTATTATTCGATCAGACTTTTCCAACATTTCAAAATAGACAAGCACTCAAGGATGCAGTTTATTCACTGATAGATATAATGTTGAATTTGTGAGAAGAAAATTCTCAAGGCCGATCATATTGATAATGAAATAGCTTCGTTTCGGAGAAAAACACTCGAGGAAAAGAGAAAAAGAGAAAAAGAGAAAAAGAGAAAAGAGAAAAAGAGAAAAAGAGAAAGAGAGAAAGAGAAAGATAGAGAGACTGAGATACCAAGTATACTATTTTCAAAAGGATTTAAACCATATCATAGAATATAGATATACGTATTTACGTACATATGTATGTATGTATGTATATCGTAATAGATCTTTTTTTAAATATCGTATACTCATCGTAATGCACTTAACTCGCTAACTACGTTAATTAACTTTAATGTTCTCCGTTTGACCCGATCTATGAACAAGTTCAATAAGTACTTGATTTTCGTTAGATCAAACGAAGTATTTAGTATTAGTGTACTTAAATAACGATCACGGATAACTAAACGTTTAAAACTAATCTCCTAAGCTTATATATAACATTGAAAAGAATTAAAAAAAAAAAAAATCTTTTCCGACGAAAAAACTTCTTTATTTTTTAAGCGTATAATTTTAATTCTTTATTTGTGTGTGTGTGTGTGTGCGTGCGTGCGCTCGCGCGGACGCGCATGTTGAATGTGATATAACAATTATTGACTAAACTAATCTATAGTCTCGTACATTGACCAATTATTTCATAAAACTTAACATCATAGTTATCGTTTGAAAATAATTTTTAATAATAACCACGAAAAAAATAGCAATCAAATATGATAATAATAGAAACAAGTTTTATCGGCAAATGGCAATTAGCACTAATGA